TTTGAACGTAGAGATCGCATTGAATTTTTAGATTTTTTTAATAAAGAATTTACTATGGATATCTATATTACATTTTAAATACAACATTTGTTTTGGATAGATTACTACTTTTAACTTAATAATAATATATAATAAAATCCTGCCAAAAGAACGCTTTAATACATTTAAAACGACATTTTTATTAATTATTTTGATTATAAATGTAAACTACCAAAGCAAATCAGCAAATGAGTTTGATGAAAATTGAATAATAAGGTATTTTGGTAAAATCAAAGTAGGAAATTAAAAGCTATGGCACGTCAGAGAAAAATAACTCTGATGAAAGATCATAAGATGAAATTTGGCGACCCTAAAGCAAAAAAAGGTTCTATGCCATTCTCGCCATATTTATCAAATTCCTCTGTAAAAGTCTTCTAAACGTCTCACTTCGACTCGGTTTTCGTGTAAATAGAAATAAAATAGAATGCCTATCCATGACAGCCGAGAAAAAAGAGCACTCTGTATATAATGACAAATCATAAAATAATAATTATTATTATTACTTTGGTATTTATTATAGTTTAATTAAAAATCATTTGCGTTCCTCTATGGCGGATAATTGGTTAACTGCCTTATTGGTTCTAAGTAATCAGAAAAAGATATAGCAGACAGTATACATTTGGAAAAACTAGTGTCACAATGGGCAGCGTTAAAATGCCGTCGTTTAATGTTGTAAGGTGTATTATTTTGAATTTTTATTGAAGTCGGCATTTTTTATTGCATACACCCCCCTCACTCGGAGCCACTGACTACGACCCTGGGTAGTGGGAGGTGGAGTGGTCAGGTGTAATTGTTTTATAGTGGTTTATTTTATAATATGTTCGTTGGCGTGCTGAACACGAATCTTAAGTTGTCCAACAAAAGTTTTTCCCGCAACTAAGTGTGCGAAATCATCAAAAAACCAATAGGTATACTCATGTTTTTAGAGGTTTCCATCATACAGTGAATTTTTTTTAAATGCGAACATAGGAGTTTGCATGCAATGTACGAGGCAGGTTCAATAAATACACGTTCGAACGCTGTAGCACGAATGTTAGTTTTGCTATGTATAACCGCAGAAAGTTACATAAGACGGTCGTCGGTAATGTAGGTGTCTACTGTGACAGTTGACTCGTGATATTTGTAGAATACACAGTTGTTGTGCGCGTTTCAGTATGGCAAGTCAAATCGTTGGAGCGTCCAAGATCGATCACCGAGCAGTACCTTTTTTTTTCGATCACCGTGGACCATGAATTTAAAGACCCTCATGTTAACATCAATGCTGTCCGATACAGTGACACTTTGACTCGCTTGCGTACAGCCATAAAGAATAAACGTCTTGGGATGCTTACGGAAGGCGTGATTCTCTTTCACGATAACACCCGTCAGCATATCGCTAACATTATCACGTCATAGATAGCGCGGCTGAGGTGGGAGGTATTAGAACACCCCTGTTACAGCTCGCATCTGTCACCCTATGACTTCCACGTCTTTGGACTCTTAAAGAAGGCATTCAAGGGACAGTGATTCCATTTGGACGCTGAAGTCGAGCAGGCAGTTTTCAAATGATTCCGTCAACAACCACAGGAGTGGTATACCACCGGCACACAGCGTCTGATGAAGCACTGGGATGCCTGCTTATGTAGTAATGGCAATTTTGTTTAGCTTAAATAAACCGCTTATATGTAACACCGCTCGAACGTGTATTTATTGAACCTGCCTCATAATTTCCCTATGTTCGATTTTTAAAAAAACACATCAATCTATTAAGTAGTTCAAATGAGTAGTAGATACAATTGACAGCTGTCATATTTTCAAAAATAGTCCAGGAAATAGAGACTGAAAATGGACCATTTCCTGCAAAACGAGAAGTAGTTCCAATTTTTTTTGCATGTCATGAAAGACTATCTGGTGGTTAACAATCCAAGTTTTCGACCTCGCACCCCCTGTGCTTCCCCCGTACCACCCTTAAAACCAAAGAAATTTGGTTGGTTTTTTAGTTTTTCAATCATATCTTTTTATAAGTTCATTTTACAAAAAAATATTGTTATCAGAAATTGTAGACTATAAAATTCTACACAACTTTGATATACACTACTTTTTTGTGAAATGTTTATTAACAGCGATATAGAGCTTCAGAGTTGCTTATATTTTTAAGAACTCTAAAATTTGTATGTAGATGTTTTAACCAAATTTTATATCTTCAACTTATCGTGGCATAAATACCCTTACGCTGCACCCTTACCAAAGGGGATGCATAATAATTCAACTTTCAACCCTTGCTAGTGGGGATATTTGAATCACTGTGAGATTGTAGGGCTTTCTAATATACGTTTGAAACAAAAAATTATCTCACTTCAGTTCAGCTTCATCCTTCATGCCCTTCATCCTCCCCCCCCTCCCCCCAACCGAGCTGAGAATAGATATTTAAGAGGAATAGAAAATATTATGTAATAAGCGTTGTATTCTCTGACTAACTTCACAATCGCCACAAGAGCGTTTAAATATCTATTTCTTCCGCGCAGGGGGGGGGGGGAAACTGAACTGAAGTGAGCCAATTTTTTCATTTCAAAAGTATATTAGAAAGGGCTATAATCTCACAGTAATTCAAATATCCTCACTAGCAAGGGTTGCAAATTTCATTATTATGCATCCCCTTTGGTAAGGGTGCAGGGTAGGGGGATTTATACCACGATAAATTCAAGATATTTTCTCATAAAACTCTTAATTATAGTGTAAAAGTATGAAATTTGATTAAAACACCTACATAGAAATTTCAGAATTCTTAAAAATATAACCAACTCTCAAGCTCTATATCTTTTTTAATAAACATTTCACAAAAAAGTAGTGTATATCAAAGTTGTGTAGAATTTTATGGTTTACAATTTCTGATAACAATATTTTTTTCTAAAGTGAACTATTAAAAAGATATGCTTGAAAAACTAAGAAACCAACCAAATTTCAGGGGTTTTGGGGGTGGTACGGGGGAAGCACAAGGGGTGGGAGGTCGAAAACTTAGATTCTTAACCACCAGATGACTGTCTATGACATGCAAAAGAAATTGGAACTACTTCTCATTTTGCATGCTAAAACCCTCTATTCCCTGTACCTAAATGCGCGAAATTGAACTTCACGTTCTTGTTATATAAATAACTATTCTGGACGTGTAGGTGTAATTAACGATATTTTTCATTATACTTCTTTTAAATCGATAACATAAAAAACAACAAACTCGCTAACGTTTTTATTTTGTAACAGTTATAGAAAATGTTTTACATTATTTGTATGTTATAGTAATTAAGGTATTAAGGGCGTTAAGAATCAAATAACGCACAAGGTAGCCATGAGTAGGTATATCCCGAGGGCCTTCGGTAGCACCAACGGTTAGATAAGGCATCTCTAGAGGTGATGGAAGGTATTATATCTATCCAGTGTCCGGGTGTTAATACTGCGTTGTCATGAATAAATTATGATGGAAATCTGATCGTAACTCTTCAATAGTCTTGTTAAGTTGTTACATGTGGCATATAGGTCAACTGTGCAAAATTTGAACCGAATCGGTTCAAGCGTTTACCAGTTATCGTGTTCACATAGAGACAGACGTTTAATAAAATTCAGTTAAAGAGAAGATTGCACTCATATTTCAAATTTGAGTAAAATATCTCACAAACTGCACGCGATATAAAGAAAAAACTTAAAATATCTTACAATTCTAACACCCTGTAGATCGGTAAAAAAGCCTTTCCGGACCTTATTGTATTTTTAGTCATAAAATATGCCAAAGAATTAGCGGTATTTACATCATATTTAGGAACACCCTGTATATAAATATAGGAGGTTCAAAAACTACCTACATTAAAAATTGAATGAAAAATTTTTTATAGCTATACCGGGTGGCGTATTGGCATTCTGTACTATTATTCAGAGCAGCTCTGGTCTGATTCGGAGTATACTATGGCTTCACGTTATGCGCAATTTGATAATACATTATATACCTACTGCGATTCAGAGCACCGATATGGTTTAGTACTCGGTTTAGTCAAAGAGTGTGTAGTGTGGTCACTATTCAGCGTTTAGAATAGAATTAAATAACACTAATAATATTTTTATATTTGATTAAATGACATATTCAAATTATCACCATGTAAACTAAAAAACAACTGTTTCAGATCCACCCATGGATCGCCACAAGTGTTTGTTTTATTACTAAAATCAGCTAACGACTTGCCGCACCAAACACTGTTAATATCTTCACCCGTTTTTTTAAAATTTCGCTTTAAATCCATTTTGAGAACCTTGATTACACACAAACAACAAAATATATACTTTTCTTGCAAAGGTAACAATAAAAACACACTTCTTGTAAGTGTATGATGCGCTTTATAGAAACCCATTATATACAGTGTTTCAGAACTCTAAAGTTTAAACCATATCGGTGCTCTGAAGTCTGAATCGCAGTACATAATGTATTAACAATTTGCGCATAACGTGAAGCCATAGTATACTGTGAATCAGACCAGAGCTGCTCTGAATAATAGTACAGAATGCCAATACGCTACGTAGAAATTAGAAATGTCGACGAGTCATGGCCAACTGCAGGACGCGCAAGGAATCAACTCTCGACTCAACACCGATCGATTTGCTATGTAAATATTTAAATAGGCATCCGCACAGAATTTCCCATATGTCTCCCTTTTTAGATTGATGTCATGAATCCAGAAACTCGGTGTTCCTTTTCTATTTCATTACATGTCAATGCAATCATGACATCTTCTTCAGAGTCAAATGAAGAATCCATTTTATCGACGACAGTGTTGCGCAGTAAAACGATGGTATCGAACCGATCCATGCCGTGTTGAACCGCGTCCTAACAAAAACTCTTAACACACTTGTGGGGCGATTATCAGTTTACCACTTATTGTTGTATTACTATCTCGATTACTACAGAGTATACGCGAAAATTTATTTAAAAAAAAACTTACCCGAACTAACACCAACAAAGAACCGACTAATTAACATCCAATATTTTCGATGTTCTTCCACCAACTCCAGCGATGAGTACATTGCGCTGGATACTATGAATACCGTTAAAGATGCTAGCACGGGCACCCGAATCGAGCCTAATTTATTCGCCCACCATCCAACTAACGGCGAAAACAGCATTTGGCCTAAGGGGTTGGCAGCGACTATAAAACCCATGAACTCTTTTCCGGCCGTTGGATCTAGCTAAGGATCGGGGATTATATTCACATAGATAATAATACCTACATCAATAAATAATACTCACTTTATCCAAATACGGCCAAACACCGGTTATAATTATGCTAAATCCTAAAGAGATCAGGAACATCGTGAAGTAAATTATATAAATGGAAATCCATCGTTCTTTGTATTCTAGTTCGCTTTCTAAAATATCTTTAGGTCGATTTAAAAATCTGTTTTCCTGTTTGAATCGTTTGGCTATTCTTTGTAAGAAATCCATATCTGAAAAAATAAACCAATGAAAATCACTGACATGAGTGTATACAGGATTAGTCATTTGTGCACACATTTTACTAAGTAACCTATCCGAGTCAATCCAAAGACGCTACTCATAATCGAAAGTCTCGAAGTATCAGGATCCAGCGACCAATATGTATAAACAAGTTAAAACGCGGTCACTCGCGCCCGACGCGACGAAAGCGCATTCTCCCCACACAGAATCAGTAATAACTCGGGAAGCAAGTGAGCAATCCAAATAAACTTTTGTCGTTCTGGTCTCTGGGCTGTACTACACCGTATAAGAAAGAAACCACAACGAAAATGCTTAAACTGGAGGACTAGTACTAGTGGTACAGACGGACAAAGTGCGGACAATAGCGTTCATTTTCCTTTTGGAAAATGCGCTAAAAAACATGCTCCTATGAGATTAAGGTAGTACATTTGATAATCTGATTCCATTGACCTCAAATTTGTTTAGGTAGGTACAAAGAACCCTGCACTACTACGAGGTATCTTTTGAAAAAAAAAACACCAAACAGGACCTATTTTTAATGCATTTCCTTATCTGTTTTGTTGGCCCGTCCAGGTAAAATCCCTTCTTTCAGGAAAAAAGGATCAAAAAGACGAGTGTTTTAGGTTCTTCATATTCCAGACCCCTCTAGTGGCCCATTAGAACTAAAGTAAGTAATCAAAGAATTTCGATTTCAGGTTCAGGTAGGTATATAACATTCTAGTGCTCCTTGCAGTTAATACTGGCAATACCAATTTCTTTGTTTTTTTTCGGCAAATAAACCAATGTTCATTGTAAAACAGGAAATTTGTTAATTATTTATAAGTATGCAGTAGGTACCCTCTATTTAATGATAATCATTTATGCCAACTTTAAACATTTCTTGTTTTGCAAAAACTTCTATTCAGATATGATGGAGCACCCTGTAATTACAAGGCTCATGCAGAGGGGCGGTTTCACGACCTGCGAATGGGCGTGGGGATCTGTTGAATTCAAATATTCAATGCTAATACAAGGGGTAGAACCTTTAAACATGCCTCTCTTTTTTTTAATAAACCGATATAAATGTAATGTATCGTTTAGACTACGCACCCAAAAATCCCAAAATGTGCATCTCTTCTCTCAAAAATCGTATCAGATAGGATTCTGTTTTTGGGTAATGTCCTTTCTGATTATTTGAGAATAATTGTATAAGTCCTACTCCAATGAGCATTTTATCGCCGAAATCATCTAAGAATACTGGGACATACCTACGCTCGCCATGCAAAAAAGTGGTCGCACTTGGGTGAATCATTGCATGAAGTATTTTTTTTATCCTTATGACCTGCCTTCTAGTAGGGGAGCTAGTTCGAAATCCACTGAACGAGAGTGATCAAAATTTTAAGGCAGTGTTTCTTTTTTAAAATTTTGATTATTATTTAGATTATATTATTCTTATAAGTTATATCTTATAATTAGAGACAAAATTGAAAAAAGGAATAAGCCATTGGCAGTACCATTTAAATAATCGCAGTATGTACCCATCATTAGTCTGTAAAAAAATAAGCTTCATTCATCCAACCATAACCTAGTTATATTCGTAGTTAGTTCGTGAAAATCCGACTAAGAATTGTTTTTTGCGGAGTTATCAAATGTTAATGTTATTTATGTTAATAGTTATTTATTATACAAGGGAAAACTCGAACTAAAATCTAACATTTTTCCCGTGTATAATACCTACACTTTTTTTTCTGTGACGAGGAAAACGATATATCGAAGTTGTAGTATCATCATTGAATAAAAAATAGTATTTTTATTCAATGGTATCATGTATTGAAGTCGTAACTATTTATAGAAATTTGAAGTTTTAAACTGCAGATAGGCTGTTGTACTTCTCGCGACAATACGAACTGCGTTGCTAAGGAAACCTTATTACTCAAATATTTGTCAATTCATTTAAACATTTCGAATTTAATGATTGTTTAATAATAATAATAATAATACAACCGAAGCGCAAAAACCGCAACAGCACCACAGGCTCACAAAATACTGCAATATCTCCACCAAAAACCCAAGCAACCACACAAATACAACCTCAAGAACAAAGAAACACCATAAATACAAGTAAGGCAACATGCACCACAAAGACAGGTCCAAAGTTACACGTCCTAGCACAGTTAAACAAGTTAAAAAGTAATCGTAAACGATTTACATAAAGCGCATTTCCACTTGTATTCATTTCCCATTTGTAAGATGCAACTTCTGTTAAAATCGTAAAAATCCGGCCACAAATATGAAAGATAGCGTTGCACACGAGCAATCCATTTTTGACATGCTATTTCAATTTCAGTTTATAAGAAGAATTTCATTTCAATGCTTTTCTAAATAAGAAAGTTGGAACTGCGAATGCGCAAATCTAAATTTTGAAACTAATGTTAGATTGTCCTTTGTTCCAAGCGCCAAAGTATCAAATTTCACTTAAATGCTTCCATAGATAAAAAAAGTTGGCACTGCGCATGGGCAAAATAAAATTTTTAAACTGGCGCTCGCTTTATTCCAAGCACCTATGTATCACATTTCATTTAAATTCTCCCATAAATAAAAAAGTTGGCACTGTGCATGCGCAAAAACAAATTTTGAAACTGGCATTTGATTTTCCTTTATTCCAAGCGCCTATGTATCAAATTTCATTTAAATTCTTCCATAAATAAAAAAGTTGGCACTGCGCATGCGCAAAACCAAATTTTGAAACTGGCGTTTGATTTTCCTTTATTCCAAGTGCCTATGTATCAAATTTCGTTTAAATTCTTCCATAAATAAAAAAGTTGGCACTGCGCATGCGCAAAACCAAATTTTGAAATTGGCGTTAGATTTTCCTTTATTCCAAGTGCCTATGTATCAAATTTCATTCAAATACTTTTATAAGAAAAAAAGTTTGCAATTCGGTTTATAAATGGTCGAGATGCGAAAAGGGCACTGTGAATTTTGAATCGATTCGACTCAACTTTTGGCATTGCGTATTATATGGCTAAGGCTATGCCCATATTGAATTTCATGCAATTCAGTTCATAACTAACGCGGAGATGTAAAAGCGGTCGGACATTTCTAAACAAAATTATCGTTCACACGGACAGATAGAGGGACAGACAGGCACAGGAACAGACGGACAGACCAACAGACAGACTACAGACAACAATACAAAATTACAAATGATCTCTAGGATGGTTAATAAACGGCAAAAGGGTAAAATTATGGAACATGTAAAAAACGGTTTGTTGGTTTTTTTACAATAACTTTTTTAGCAATAAACGCAGAAAAAATTCCTTCCTTGGTACAAGACTCGACACCATAACGAACCAAATAGCGAAAAAAGTAGAACAATAGCTCTTAAGATAAAGAACTAGTAGCGTCGCAAAAGTAGCGGACGGACGGACGGACAGCCGGACAGACGGACGGGCGGACAAAGTGGCCACAATAGCGCATTTTTTTTTTGTGGAAATGCGCTAAAAACACAAAACTCCTTCTTCACAGAAACACACCACGTTATCACAACCCACTCGTATTCAACCCAAACGCAAAGCCAAAGAAACACTTACACAATAAACAATTACAGGAATTATTATAATGATTTTTAGCGCATTTCCACAAAAAAAAAATGCGCTATTGTGGCCACTTTGTCCGTCCGTCCGTCCGTCCGTCCGTCCGCTCGTTTTGCGACGCTACTAGTTTTTTATCTTAAGAGCTATTGTTCTACTTTTTTCGCTATTTGGTTCGTTATGGTGTCGAGTCTTGTACCAAGGAAGGATTTTTTTCTGTACCGCTTACAAAAGAAGTTATTGTAAAAAAAAACAAAAAACCGTTTTTTTACATGTTCTATAATTTTACACTTTTGCCGTTTATTAACGATCCTAGAGATCGTTTATAATTTTGCATTGCTACCTGTCGTCTGCATGCTGGTCTGTCCGTCTGTTCCTTTGTCTGTCTGTCCATCTATCTGTCCGTGTGAACGATAACTTTGTTTAGAAATGTTCGATCGCTTTTACATCTCCGTTAGTTGAATTGCATGAAATTCAATATGGGCATAGCTTTAGCCATAATAATACGCAATGCCAAAAGTTGAATCGAATCGATTCAAAATTCACAGTGCCCTTTTCGCATCTCGACCATTTATAAGCCGAATTGCAAACTTTTTTACTTATAAAAGTATTTTAATGAAATTTGATACATAGGCACTTGGAATAAAGGAAAATCAAACGCCAATTTCAAAATTTGGTTTTGCGCATGCGCAGTGCCAACTTTTTTATTTATGGAAGAATTTTAACGAAATTTGATACATAGGCACTTGGGATAAAGGAAAATCAAACGCCAATTTCAAAATTTGGTTTTGCGCATGCGCAGCGCCAACCTTTTTATTTATGGAAGAATTTAAATGAAATTTGATACATAGGCACTTGGGATAAAGGAAAATCAAACGCCAGTTTCAAAATTTGGTTTTGCGCATGCGCAGTGCCAACTTTTATTTATGGAAGAATTTAAACGAAATTTGATACATAGGCACTTGGGATAAAGGAAAATCAAACGCCAATTTCAAAATTTGGTTTTGCGCATGCGCAATGCCAACTATTTTATTTATGGAAGAATTTAAATGAAATTTGATACATAGGCACTTGGAATAAAGGATCATCGAGCGCCAGTCTCAAAATTTTCTTTTGCGCATGCGCAGTGCCAACTTTTTTATCTATGGCACCATTTAAGTGAAATTTGATACTTAGGCGCTTGGAACAAAGGAAAACCTAACATTAGTTTTAAAATTTAGGTTTGCTCATGCGCAGTTCCAACTTTCTTATTTAGAAAAGCATTGAAATGAAATTCTTCTCATAAACTGAAATTGAAGTAACACGTCAAAAATGGATTGCCCATGAGCAACGCTATCTTTCATATTTGTGGCCGGATTTTTACGATTTTATCAGAAGTTGCATCTTATAAATGGGAAATGAATGCAAGTGGAAATGCG